ATAAAAGTCAAAAAAATATTTTCATTTTAAAACACACAATAGGCCAGTTTAATTTTAAATACTTTTCCTTAAAGAAAAAAGCGCTATGCATTACTCATAAGTACCAGCTATACCTACACAACACTTACATGTTTTATCCATCCAACCACAGCAACTGCCCTGCTCTGGAAGCAGTTTAGCAAAACTGTGACATGTGGTACCTTCCACTGCTGTGGTGGGAATAAGGGAAATCTCAGTACTGCACAAGCAGTATACATGTCTATTGACTACGTGCTTAAGTTCTTACCAGTAATGCAAGTTGTACAATGATACTGATCTCACTCTAACCCCACAGGTAAATGCAGAATCTGCAGAGGCTCATTCATCTGCTTTGATTTCATAAAGACCTAGGTCCAGCCCTTGCAGCCAGAATGCCTTCAAGTCTTGACTATACAGTTATTGAATTTGTTTTCCTTTGTGACTTCACCACGCATACTGCAAATCCGTTACTTGGCCAAAGGTCACAAAATCACCCTCCTATCAGTAAAGGATTCACCCTTGCAGAGAATCGTCTGTTGCAGAATGACTCTAAGAGCAGGACCACAGAGCCCTGGAGGACTGTGCGAGCAAGGCAGGGGGTGGCCCCCACAGGTAACCGGAAACTGGACATGGGAGGAGAATGTGGAGGAAGCTGTGTGGGGCTAACCAATACTGTTGTGCCAAGGAGGAGTGGCTGAATACCACTCCTATATATATGTGAACTGCATCACAAATAAAGTAGAAGTTGCTTATCACCCATATTGGGTTGGCCTGTCTGCTTCTCCTTGCCGCTTACAATCGTCCTTTTAACACCTTGTTAAAAGGTGTACCTGGAAGAGAAGCAAACCACCTTAACCGGCTTTGTTAACTGGTGCAGTAAGCTGGCATAAAGGAGGAGCCTCCAGTCACTCACCCTACTTGTGCAGACAGCCCATCCTCTTCTAGCATCCTGTGAAGTCTTACAAATCCCATTAGAAGTCCATAAATCAGAAGTTACAGCTGTGCACATCTCTGTGGTATAGTACAGTGAAAAGCTGAATCATCAGTCAGTTGCCCCATTGTTAAAATATAGCCCTACCTGAGCTCAACTTTCTCCACCATAGCAGAAACAAAATCCCATCTTTTGTCACTGGAAAAGATGGACAATCCAGATGTTCACAGCTATACAGAAGTTCTGAAAAATAAAGAGTTGTCTGATTTCAACACTGTGATTGAGCACACTTCTTACGGCATCATCTCAACTCAGGAAAGGCTGCTACAGTTCAAGCAGCACTTTGCTTGGCCCAAGTACTGCGAAGAAAAAAGCACAACTCTTCACTTGCCTAAAATTGCCACAGTTCGGTTAGCTTAATGTTTCTCTCTCATCTATCCTTGTCCTAGGAACCAGTCATTGGGGGGCCTTAGTTCAGCAAATGCTCTCATACTACACTGGCCACACAAACACAAAAGCAGGTTCTTTACAAAATGCAAATGTGCCAACTCATTTTTAAAAGAAATCTGCTGTAGCAGAAATGCCCCAGTTTAACAAAGGGAGTTTACTACCCGATTCTGTTCTATGCTTTCCTCAGCCTGAAGGAATCAAAGCCTTTACTTCCCACCTTGAAAGAGCACAGGCTCCACGGAAGAATGTGAAACACACCAACTCTCTCTAGTCCAATAATTAAAATAACCACCTGGGAAAGACAAGCCTGAGCTCTAGCTTCCACTTCAGCCTATTTGTACATTTTACACATGGTAATTAAGTTTAAAACAGATGGCACTTAGGACATTCTCAGAAGAGGTGGGACATGAGTCTCAGATAAGAAACAGTATCCAGACCTCCCATTTCTGGGCAAGGCCTTTGCAAATAAAACAAAAGCTATTATGTAGAATAAAGAAAAGGAGTGAAAGAAGGGCAAGGACCAAGTACTACAGTGACTTTCTTTAAAGTTAAATTAAGAAAAGAGGAACAAGGATTCCCAGTGGCAGATCTCAAAATGATAGAGGAGTACAGGACCTCAGAAGAGGTCATCCCTAACAGAAAAGCTTCCATCCTACAACAAGAGATGCTACAGTCTTGTCACTAAGGCACCCAGCCTCACTGGCTAATTTTCAGATATCCCAGGCCTTTATTAGCTCAGGTTCTCCTCACCTTCCAATGCTTAAATATGCCTGACACATATTAAATTAAGATGGAAAAGCTGCATTGAAAAGAGAGTTAAATAACAAAGAACACAATACTGAAAGAATCAGGGGGTTGTAGCTATAGTCCTACTAACTTACTATCTCTGACAAGAAATGTACTTCTGTCAACAAACTGGAAGATTGATCACACAGCAATCAAAGTAGCCCTTGGGAAAGCTCTGACTGTCCTCTTGCTAAAAATAAGAGCATCAAGCAAACAGATTGGTTTTCTTTCCTCTTCTCAGACGTAGTTATACCACCCTGTCTGACAGCCACTTGGAGTGGTTTCTTCAGCCCACTATTGGCAGACAGCTGCTAACTCACAGGAAGAGTGTTGTAAGAACACATGAGAACAGACATAATGGGGTAAAACACAAACAGCAGGTGAACATTCAAAGCACAGCACAGGTTCTCTTGGATAAGAGATGAAATCTGCTATGAGTCTACATGGTCTCTGAATTTACCCCCTTGCATAAGGTCAGGTGGCTCTATCACAAAAGAGAGCATGACTAACACTGTCTCAGCATGAAAGAGCAGCATGTTTGTTTTAATATGTACTTTTCCACAAAGCTCATGGTCTTCCAAACAATCTACACCTGCCTCACGAGTTGATCGGCAAGTATAACAGGACAAATCACAGCTGAAGGGAAAGGGGCAAACTTCATGAAGTTCAACAAAGCAAAGTGCAAGGTCCTACTTGCAACTTGGGGTTGGGGCAATCCCAAGCACAGCTATAGGATGGGTGGAGAAGAGATTCAGAGCCGTCCTGCAGAGAAGGACTTGAGGGGTGTGGGCTGATGAGAAACTGAACATGAGCAGGCAGTGTGTGCTCGCAGCCCAGAAAGCCAACTGTATCCTGGGCTGCATCAAAAGGAGCGTGACCAGCAGGTCGAAGGAGGTGATCCTGCCCCTCTACTCTGCTCTCGTGAGATCTCACTTGGAGTATTGTGTGCAGTTCTGGTGTCCTCAACATAAAAAGGACAAGGAGCTGTTGGATCAAGTCCAGAGGAGGGCCACAAGGATGACCGAAACTGGAGCACCTCCCGTATGAAGGCAGGCTGAGAGTTTGGGCTGTTCAGTCTGAAGAAGAGAAGTCTGTGTGGAGACCTCATAGCAGTCTTCAAGTATCTGAAGGGGGCCTGTAAGGATGCTGGGAAGGGTATTTATCAGGAACTGTAGTGACAGAAGAAGGGGAAATGGGTTCAAACTTAAACAGGGGAAGTACAGGTTAGATACAAGGAAGAAGTTCTTTACTATGAGGGTGGTGAGGCACTGGAACAGGTTGCCCAAAGTGGGCCTTGGGCAAACCGGTTAAGTGCGAGGTGTCCCTGCCCATGGCAGGGGGGTTGGAACTTGATGATCTTAAGGTCCTTTCCAATCCAAAACATTCTATGATTCTAAGATTCTTTCCAACCATAACCATTCTATGATTCTATGTATGAAGCTGCCACTGACTGAATACAAGCCATAAAGGAAAACAGCTCTTCAAGCTGGATTGTAAAATAAGCAATAATGTTTACTATACATTACCTACTTAATAGGTTATACTAATCACAATCCATACACCCAGCACATGCCAAGTGATAAGCAATGTGCAGCAGAACATTTTTCTCCAGGAAATGGGCAACACTTACATCACAAATAAGGTGTTTGTCAAATACAACTAAGCATGCCCAGGACAGCTTTTATTTAGCACCCACTTGCCAGGAAAGACACAACAATGCAAACCTCTTCGTGGACAAACAATCCAAACAAATATCCAAGCTGCCTATTGGGAGTGTAGCAGCACAAGCCACAAACTGTATACATCAAAACCCCTGCAGGTCTCACCAGGTTAAAACTCACCACTGACACACCTTTTTTTTTTCCCAGTGCAGAAGTTGCTCCAAGGGAAACGGACTGTTTGTTTTTTTCCTTTCCATGCCACCTTTCTCCTGCACCTTCTGCTCAAAGCACCAGGATTGTGAGAGCATCATTATCCCTATGAGTAACACAGCCAAAGAGAGTGAAGACTGCAATGAATGCACACGAATACAAAACAAGCAGCCTGGGGAGATGTTTTTGTCTGGTTATAAAGCAGGTACTGATGGTGAAAGTAAATGAATGGCTGCTCAGTATGTCAGAGAGACAGATGACAAAGAGCACCTCTTGAGTGAGGAGCCTGCTCAGATCAAACCCAGCTTCAGGCTGCCCCACACCTGCACTGATACTACTGCACTGCTTGCCTTTGCCATTTCAGACCACCAGGATGGAGGATCTCAACACCAGCTCCTCGTATTGCCTTTTCTACATTTGGCTCCTCTCAGGGATGCTTACTTCACACCTCATCTCTGCACAGCTTTAGCTGACCTCGTGGGAACTCCTGGTAAAGGTTACTATAAGACAGTCCAAAGACACAACATGAAAGTGATTACCCCCCATCATACAGACCTAGTGGAAAACACCTCAAACCCCGGGGCAACAAGCCCTAGCCACGCGTGGGTGATGCCAGGGAAGCCTCTTCCCTCAGGGCAGCCTGTCTGCCTCTGCGGGCTGTCAGCGAGGGCTCCTGCAACCCGCACACCACGAACCGCGAGGGAAGGCGGGTAGCCGCCTCGCTAAGAGGTGCCTGAGGTGCTGGGAACGCACCCGCGGGGATGTGTCCCCCGGGGCCCGGGAGGGACGGACATAAGAAGGAAGGGAGGGTGGCCGCTGCCTTCGAACGCGCCCGACAGCCCCTCCGCCGCTGCTCGCACGGCTTCAGCCACGGCTCCCTGTGGGCGCCTCACCACTCCACAACGCGGAGAAAGCCCGGGGCCGAGGGGTATCCCCACCGTTACCTGCCCGGTGATGCCGGTGATCAGAGCCACCTTCCTGCCGTTCAGCTCCTCGCCGTCACCTCCGGCTGCCGCGGCGCAGGCACGCGTCTCCCCCGCCGGCTGTGCCATCCTCCCGGCGGCAGCAAGCGTAGCCCAGGTGCAGAGATAGCCCCGGGTGGATGCTCCCGGCGCTCCGGACGAGCAAGGCGAGGAAAATGCCAGCTGGCACACGGGCTGCCGCCACACAGAGGCTACCTCTGCTGCCCCGGGCACCGCGGCATTTCCGCGCTCTCGCCCCGCCCGCAGGTGTAACCCACTACCACCACCACCGCCGCCGCCACCGCCGGCCCAGCCCCCGCGCAGGCGCGCAGCGGGCAATGGCCCGCGCTCCGCTTCAGCCACCCCACCCCTCCCCTCCCCTCCCCTCGCCTGGTGTCGCTCGGCCCCGCAACCAATCCGAAGCCCCGGCGCTTCCTTAAAGGGACCGCACACGCGGCTCGCCGCGGGGTAGCTCCGGCGCGCGAGGGCTGAAGGTGAGAGCGGTGATTGGTTGAAAGTGGGGGCGTGGCCTGTGCGGCTGCTGCCGCGGAGGCGCGGAGCCGCCGACTTCCTGGTCGCGTGTCGGAGAGGAGGATGCGCCGCCGTCACGTGAGAAGAGCGGGCCATGGCCCCGCCCCCCCCGCCGTAGAGCGCCCCCTGCGGCCTGGAGGAGCGGGCCGACGGCGCTTGAGGCACCGAGAGGTGAGGCTTAATGGACAGGCGGGGATTGTGAGTTCCCGCAGCCTCTGCGCTCGCTACCTGGTCCCCGAGGCCTGCCGGCTCTTTTTAAAGGCTCCGGATCAAAACTGCAGTGGGTTCAACCTTAAATAGGGGAAGTTCAGGTTAGACACAAGGAAGAAGTTCTTCCCTGTGGGGGTGATGACGCCCTGGCACAGGTTGCCCAGAGAAGCTGTGGCTGCCCCATCCCTGGCAGCGTTCAAGGCCAGGCTGGATGGGGCTTTGAGCAGCCTGGTATAGTGGAAGGTGTCCCTGCCCGTGGCAGGGTGTTGGGACCGGGTGAGCTTTAAGGTCCCTTCCGACCCAAACCATTCTATGATTCTATGACTCCCATGAATCGCAGAATCCTCCAGGATGGCAAAGCTGGTCCTCCTCACCTTTCCCACCTGTGGGAATACTTCCCAATAAATGATCCAAAAGCTCCTGGAAAAGTGATTCATAATAACTCTTTTCCTGATGGAACACCAATCAGCAGCTTCTTTTACTACCAAGTCTTGGGAAACGGGAGAGGTGCCTGAGGACTGGAGGAAAGCAAATGTCACTCCAGTCTTCAAAAAGGGCAAGAAGGAGGACCCGGGTAACTATAGACCAGTCAGCCTCACCTCCATCCCTGGGAAAGTGATGGAACACCTTATCCTTGGTACCATCTTAAGGCATATCAAGGATAAGAAGGTTATGAGGGGCAGTCAACATGGCTTCACCAGGGGGAAATCATGTTTGACCAATCTCTTAGCCTTTTATGAGGAAATAACACGGTGGATGGATGATGGCAGAGCGGTGGATGTGGTCTACCTTGACCTCAGCAAAGCATTTGACACAGTCTCCCACAGCATCCTCACGGCTAAAATGAGGAAGTGTGGACTGGATGATCAGGTAGTGAGGTGGACTGCGAACTGGCTGAAGGAGAGAAGCCAGAGAGTTGTAGTCTATGGGGCTGAGTCTAGTTGGAGGCCTGTAACTAGTGGAGTGCCTCAAGGGTCAGTACTGGGACCGGTATTATTTAATATATTCATCAATGATTTAGATGAGGGAATTGAGTGTACTATCAGCAAGTTTGCTGATGACACTAAGCTGGGAGGAGTGGCTGACACGCCAGAAGGCTGTGCTGCCATCCAGCGAGACCTGGACAGGCTGGAGAGTTGGGCAGGGAGTAACTTGATGAAATATAACAAGGGAAAGTGTAGAGTCCTGCATCTGGGCAGGAACAATCCCAGGTTCCAGTATAGGTTGGGGAACGACCTGTTAGAGAGCAGTGTAGGGGAGAGGGACCTGGGGGTCCTAGTGGACAACAGGATGACCATGAGCCAACACTGTGCCCTTGTGGCTAAGAAGGCCAATGGCATCCTGGGGTGTATTAGAAGGGCGGTGGTTAGTAGGTCGAGAGAGGTCCTCCTTCCCCTCTACTCTGCCCTGGTGAGACTGCATCTGGAGTATTGTGTCCAGTTCTGGGCCCCTCATTTCAAGAAGGACAGGGAGCTGCTGGAGAGAGTCCAGCGCAGGGCAACGAAGATGATTAGGGGAATGGAACATCTCCCTTATGAGGAAAGACTGAGGGAGCTGGGTCTCTATAGTTTGGAGAAGAGGAGACTGAAGGGTGACCTTATAAGTGTCTATAAATATATAAAGGGGGAGTGTCACGAGGATGGAGCCAGGCTCTACTCAGTGGCAAACAATGATAGGACAAGGGGTAATGGGTACAAACTGGAACACAAGAGGTTCCACTTAAACTTGAGAAGAAACTTCTTCTCAGTGAGGGTGACGGAACACTGGAACAGGCTGCCCAGGGAGGTTGTGGAGTCTCCTTCCCTGGAGACATTCAAAACCCGCCTGGACGCATTCCTGTGTAACATTATCTAGGTGTTCCTGCTCCGGCAGGGGGATTGGACTAGATGATCTTTCGAGGTCCCTTCCAATCTCTAACATACTGTGATACTGTGTGATACTGTGGCATCATGTTGCTGTGTCTACAAAGGAAGAAGGGGCCTGCCTTTATTTTGCTGTTAATCATACAATCATTGAATAGCATGCTTGAATGGTGGGACCTCTGCATGTACACACAATTGTATTACTATGATTTTACTTTTATTATGGCTTATTACAATGTGTGGTCAAAAATTACTGAAGTTCATCGAAAGCCCAGAATATATTTTAAAAATATTAAAGATGTGGAGCACACTGCTTTTCAAGTGGAAATGTACTCTGGAATCCTGATTGCTTTTTTGCATGCTGCTTCCCATGGTCTCAGTTTAAATCCCCTTGTTGCAGCCTCCTTGTCAGTGATAGAATGGGAAAACTGTATTACATCACAGTTACTCAATTACAAGATGTCATCCCAGTTGTACCATTTCTGTACCTTGTTTCTGAAGCTTTTTCCTGGATGCATTCAGATGATTATAGAGTCAGCAACACTGGCTACTTCTGTAAACTAATTTCATTCCACTAGTGATATTTAATGGGTGTATAGAGGAGGAAAACCATGAATAATATGAATGCCAGCCTCTCAGTTTTGTCTGAGACACCAGAGACATAAAAATATATAAAATTATAAAATAGATAAAAAATATATAAAATTCTGAGTTTCAGGACTCTGTACACCAGCAATAAGGTGCAAAAAATATTTTTATTTTAAAACTCAGAATTTGAGATTAGAGGGAGTTAGGAGCAAGTTTTCTTTATTTACTTGCATAGATCATTCCTTCTCCTGCTAGATCAGAGCCGCATAAAGCAATGCATGACCTACAATATTAAAAATTGTCCTTTATGTGGCCAGATAAGCTTGTCATTTCTAGCTTTTTCTGGTAGTCTATTAAATGTACTGCAAAGTAAACCTTGCCTTATTTCTCTTTTCTGCTCATTAAAGCGGCAAGTAAGGGTGACAATGCAAGCCCTGAAACTGGGCTAGAAGAGCCCACATCACTGGGGCCTCCATATCCAACTTACTTAGAGGAATTTTTTGATCAGTTTCTCTAACAGAGTTTCTCCTACCCTAGTTGTCCAACATCCCACAAGAACTATTTTTCAGATGTAACATTTTCCTTCACTGTTGTTCTCAAAAGGACTCCACCCGATGGGAGAAGCCAGTTCACACCTTTCATAACTCGCCTGATTAATCTAGTACCTCAGTTCAATGACCACTTTATGACCTTATTCTCAGGTGACAGGCACCTTCACCTTGGTTTTTTCTCCTATTTAGAGCAATAGCTTTCCTTCCTACTCAGCATGTGCATTCCTGAGTGATTCAGAACAGAAGACTGCAATCTCTGTCACTTTTGCAAGGGGAGTGTCTCAGCCAGTCTGAACTCAGAACACTTTAGCAGGGCTCATACTTGTATTTTTAGTCAATACTAATACTAGAAACAGGCAGATGAAGCCAGACAGGATGTAGCCCAGTTCAGGTTCCAGCTGACTGAAGCAGGGAAAAAAAAAATATGCAAAAAAAAGCACCTTTAACTTGTTTCAATTTCTATTCCATTTATAAGTCTGGCAGTGGTAGTTGCAGACGCTGTTAGCCAGCTACCATAATCCTGCTAGGTCTGTCCCTGGTGGGCACATTCCAGGTTTAATGCACAAAGACTGTTCTGTCACCAAAGACTTCCAAGGTACAGGTACAGAAGAAACTGAAGGCTCAATTGTGGCACAGGTACTAGATTTTACCTAAGTTGCTCTGGTGTTGACAGCAATTTAAGACAGACTGCAGCTGAAAACTGGACCAGCAGCCCCAAGAGACCCCAGGATTAATATTCATTCTGAGCACTAGCCTGTGCTGATGTCTTGCTGCCTCCAGCACCTGTACTATTGCATGTGCTACCTAACTTAAAGCTAACTTAAAGCCTGCCCACACCGTAATCACTTTTTCGTGCATCTGTGTGGACCTGGCTATAGCCTCTACAAATGGCAAGGCCCTCATATGAAGAGGAGATTGGAGACTGACACACATCTGCAACTCCAGCCTTCTCGAATCCTTGTAAGAGCAGATGCTTGTGTGAGCATGGGTGTCCAGTAAAAGTTTTATGCCCAGAAGTGAACACACCAGCAACTTCTGAGGAAATGCAAAGACTAGCATGTGTGGCATTTACTTTAAAGCTGCCATCCCATGAACTGGGGAGAGCAAGATAGGACAGATGTGAACAAATTTGCGTGGTTTTGGTGGATACAAGCACAGCTGATGGAAGTCAAACTGGTTAAACTAAGAAATAATGGAAAATGAGCAAGGAGGAAGCAGAGAGCAAAAATTAGAGAGAAAAAAAAATGTTGCTGAGAGTAAGGAAGAAGGGAATAATAGGAGCAAAAGACTGTAGTGTATTAGATTACAAAAAATACCATCTTAAATATTAAGAGAAAGGGAAAAGGAGGGAGAACATCCACACAGAGAAATTTTGTTACACTTGAATACCATATGCATTACAAACCTGATGTCAATATCTGAATGGGGATGTGGCCATACTGCTGATTTGGATTTGGATAAGTAACCCTGTGAGGTTTAATAATCTCATGTGAATCCATTGTAAGTGCCAGCAGGAAAGATGTAACCT